GTGGGCTAGGACAGTAAAAATTGTTGTAGCAAGTCACCAGAGCCAGCTGTTTCATAGCAGCAACTGTTTCACAGAGTTATCTACAGCCCTGGGTCACCTGTGAAATGAGAGCTCCTGTTAAAAGCAGCGAGAATTTAAGAAGAGCAAGCAGGTCACGGCCAGCAAAGGCACCAAGAACAAAAGGACAGCTGCTCCTCTTCCTACTAAAAAGCCACAGGAGTTTGAGAGCAGGACTGAGCTTCAGCTGGCTTTAAAAAGGCATGAGTAAAATCCATGGCAGGGGAATGCCAGCGAGGCAAAGAGCAGGTCAGCAGTTGTCTAGAAATAGCCATTGGAGTTCAGTGTGGAGTAACAGCGGACCCAAAGGCTGGGGTGTCAAGTTGACACTGCTAAGCTTAGATCCCCACAGAACTTCCAGCATTACAGAAAAGGGCCTGAAATTTCTACCTAAGGGAACAGAAACAGCAGACACTTCACAAACCTGACACAGACACACGTCACCAGATCTGAAAGAGGGTGTGGGAGTAACTGGACACACCAGCACCTCTTGTGAGGACCAGCTGGATCTCATCACAGCCACGTTTCTGCCATCAGCAGCTCCACACCTGCTTCGGTGTCAAACCTGCCCAGCGCAAACTGCTCTCCCAGCAGCGACTCCAGCCAGCCTGGCTGGGCTCTGATGCACAGCAGCAGCTCTGGGCTGCTCCCCAGCACGTCACCTCCTCACTGCTGGAGACTTCCAAAGATAGAGAACAGTATCTTCCACCAACACAGCAGTTGTGGAGACAAACAGCTCCGTTCCTGTGACAGTGTCAGTCAGGTAATTAGGGTAACTTTGAGAGCACTGCCTTCCTGCTCAGAGGAACCAAGCACTGTCAGACAAGAGCACTCCATGGATTTAGAGTATCTTCCCTTGGAGACATTTCTGAAACACTTGCATGTATGGCTAGATTAGGATTTCATCAAAAAGACTGCAGCCAGAAAAGAAATTAAACTGCACTTACAACAACAACAACAAAGGCTTGCATTACAGACTGGGCTGTCTTGTGGGCTGTTTATCAAAGTAATAAGGTCAGAGTAAGTAGGCTGAAATTAAAACTAGTTTCAGCCTGAAAGCACACGCCAGCATACACTGATGGAAAAGAAGCAATTAGATTCTGAACTTTTACCCAGAATAAATTCCCAAGTACAAAAGCCACAACCAAGATACAGAATGGACATCAAAACATATTCCACATGCGCTCACTGGGATGTACAAATCTCAGTCCACACTTCCTGAGTGGTTAGATGGAATGAAAGAGTTAGGCTGCACTCTGATTTTGGTTTTGTTTGTTTGGGGGTTTTTTGTTTGTTCTTATTGTTGGGTTGTTGGTTTGGTTTTTTTTTTTTTGCTTTCTGATTTATAAACCAGCCCCAAAGGTTTTTCCTGCTGAGATACCCAGGTCATTATTTTTTCTCACTGGATGACAGATGACAGCAAAACGAGACACTTTATTACTGATAAGGACTAAGCTCAAAGGAATGAGAAGCAGTTTTAAAAGTGTTTCGTGTTACATAAATCACTCAGCCTAAAGCCAACTGAAAATAGTCTCATTAAAAGTGAATGAAAAAGCTCTTCAGTCAGAAAGCTCCAAACACAAGTTTCTTTCTCCATCCTTAATACTGTCCTGTAGAATTTGCCTATGAGATCTGAGATTTCTCAGGCATAGACTTAAAAGAAGTATAAAGTGAAAACAGCTGAAAAATACCTCTCAAGGTACCCTCTTGCTTAGAGACTGCCAAGTCATTCTCAAACTCCTTCCATTTATTTTAGCAATTCTTCCAGACCTCAAATGACTGATTTAAGTGAGAAAATTTAAGAGACTCCCAGAAACGCTGGGGAGGGGGAAGAATTACACTGTTACTACTCTGTCTTTTATTGACTCCAACATATGCAACAGAGGAGGAAGCAGTGACGTTTCCTAGCACTGCTTTACTGGAAATCTCCCACTGAATGCCAGAGCTGAACAAGGGTCAATTATCAGGCTGTATAACATAAAAGCCCATTCAAAGGGAATATTAAATGAGAAGCGGGTCTTCATTCACACCTCCAGGAGGCTGCTTCTGAAGAAGTGATTATTTTTCCAGAAATTTTCCAGCGTAGTCTTTACATCTGTGGTGCCTCGATAATGAAATGATGGTCCATAAAGAGTCTGACCTTTTCCCAGCATTACACACACACACACAAAACAAAACAAAAAAACAAAACAGAAACAAACAAACAAACAAAAAACACCTCCACACAAAATTGAGAACAAACAGAAATAGCATTTGGAGGTTCAAGGACGAACCTCTTCATGACTTGATTCTGAGAGAAAACTGCTGTGAAATGACTGAGGCAGCTGTGCATTTTCTCCAAAGAGTTGTGCACTCCCCTGGAAAAGGCCAAGCCCATCGCTGCTGCCTCTCCAGCACCCCTGAAATGCCATTTCCTCATGCTGGGGAAACTTTCCCATAGATACACTTTTTATACACACACCAAAACTTGCTGTAGGCTGGCAGGGGACTCTTTTCCACACACAACCAGCCATCCTATCTTTAATGACCTGTTACATGTCCCTCCAAGAAAAGAGAGGGTATTGCTTACTGACACATGAGCACAGGAGACATTAAAAACCCTTTAAGACAGACTTAAGTTGGTATGAAATGAGATTTCCCTCAAGAGAACTGCTAAAATCCTTTAAAGAACATCTTCAAAGACACATGTTTTATGGGCACTGTTGAGCTCTTGTGGAAAAAGCCAACAGGTTTAGCCAGAATTTTCCACATCATCTTCTGGTATTTTACAATTTTCAAACTTAAGCCAAGAATAGAGAAGCCAAGAAATTTTTGTTTGAAAGCAAGAAAACAGGGATTTTTTTTTTTTTTCAGTTTTCAATTCCTTTTTACTAGGATGCCAGGAAAATGAAGTCTTCCTAAACACAGGCCTAAGATTTAGCAACAGTGCTTTGTGTTATTATCCAGAACTTGATTCCATTTCTTGTCTCAACTGTAACTTAAACAGGGATCCTGGAAAATATTATGACATCAAATAAAACATTACTGATAAGAACTTTTCAAACTCTATCAAAAAAAGCTGTTTCTCCAGTGTCTGAGAGAATAAACCCAGACAGAGGAAATTTCCCTGGCTCTCCATAAACTGTGCAGTGATTTTTAAAAGCTGCATTGTCACATATTTCAGTGTTACTAGTGATGTACAAAATACGAGAAGCTACTTCTGAGCTAAATGGGTTCAAGTTAAATATTGTTATGTATTTAAAATATTTATTTCTTCTATTAATATTTACCCATATCCCTGAGCTGGAAGACAGGAATGGAGAAGCAGAAAGAAGACCCCATAATCCAAGAGGAAATCCAAAGTTAACAACCTGCTACGCCACTTTAGACACACCCAAGGCTGCGTGTGGATGGGATTCACCCAACAGCATTGAGGGAGCTGGTGGAAGTGCTCACCAAGCCACTTTCCATCATTTACCAGCATTCCTGGCTCCCCAGGGAGGTCAGCAAATATGACACCCTGGGAGGATCTAGGAAACTACAGGCCTGTCAGTCTGACCTCAGTGCCAGGGATGATCATGGAGCAGATCACCTCGAGTGCTGTCACACGACAACATACAGGACAACCAGGGGATCAGGACCAGCCAGCGTGAGTTTGTGAAGGGCAGGTCCTGCCTGACCAACCTGACCTCCTTCTGTGACAAAATGATCTGGCCTGTGGATGAAGGAAAGGCTGTGGATGTTGTCTGCTAGATTTTAGTCAAGCCCTTGACAGCATTGCCCACAGCATTCTGCCAGAGAAACTGGCTGGGTGGAAAAAGGCTGGGTGGACAAGGTCAAAGAGTGGTGGTGAACGGTGCTACATCCAGCTGGCAGCCTGTCACCAGTGGTGTCCCCCAGGGCTCATCATCAGGGCCAGTCCTGTTTAACACCTTCATCCATAATCTGGACAAGGGGATTGGGTGCACCCTCAGTCAGTTTGCAGATGACACCAAGGTGGGTGGGAGCACTGATCCACTGGAGAGTAGGAAGACTCTACAGAGGAATCTGGACAGGCTGGAGAGATGGGTTGAGGCCAATGGTATGAGGATCAACAAGGCCAAGTGTCAGGTCCTTCCCTTGGGTCACAACAACCCCAGGCACTGCTACAGGCTGGAAGAGAGTGGCTGGGAAGCTGCCCAGTGGGAAAGGACCTGGCAGTGCTGGTTGACAGTAACTGAACATGAGCCAGGTGTGCCCAGCTGGCCAAGAAGGCCAATGGCATCCTGGCTTGTATCAGGAATATGTGGCCAGCAGGAGCAGGGAAGTGATTCTTCCCCTGTACTCAGCACTGGTGAGGCACCTCCAGTCCTGTGTGCAGTTCTGGGCCCCTCACAAGAAGAAAGACATTGAGGTGCTGGAGCAGGTCCAGAGAAGGGTAGTGGAGCTGGAAAAGGTCTGGAGCACAAGTCGGATGAGGAGCAGCTGAGGGAGCTGTGGGTGTTAAGCCTGGAGAAGAGGAGGCTCAGGAGAGACCTTCTCACTCTCTACAACTACCTAAAGGAGGTCATAGCCAAGTGGAGGTCAGGCTCTTCTCCCAGGTAACAAGTAATAGGGCAAGAGGAAATGGCCTCAAGCTGCACAGTGGAGGTTTAGATTGGACATTAGGAAAAATTTCTTCATGGAAAGTGTTGTTAAACATTGGAACAGGCTGCCCAAGCAGTCTGCAGGAGTCCCCATCCCTGAAGGTATTTAAAAGACACATAGATGTGGCACTTATGGATACAGTTTAGTGCTGGTCTTGGGAGTGCTGGGTTAATGGTTGGACTTGATGACCTTAGAGGTCTTTTCCAACCTAAACTCTATGAGTCTATGAAATGTCTTAATTCACAAGTGGGAAGCTCAGGAGGTGAATAAGGGAAAGGGTACTACAGGAAGACAGGTTTTTACGTTGCCTTTTAGGGTAAAGAAATTGCACCACTCACCTCCACTAAGTAACTTCATCACCAGCCAAAGCTCATCTTTCACCACGAACGATGTGTAGTAAGATACAATGTTGGGGTGATGGCACTGACTCATGGCTTGAATTTCTTTCTGTAGAGAAAAATAAAGCATTAGCAGTTGGACCCAGTGATTATTAATTACCCCTCAGGCACAGAAGTTATCTTCATCTTCCTCAAGGCACAGAGAGGGTGCAAAGGAAAAGGATACCTAGAAGCTCAACAAAGGAAATCCAGAAATACTCTAAACACTCAGGCTGCAAAGGTGTTTTAGGGTGCTCCGCCTGCCTGTCCAGAAGGAAGAAGAAACTCACCAAGAAGCCCTTGTCAAGGACAACAAAATGGTGGCAATCAAAATACCTGCATGCAGCCACAACAGAATATTCCCAAGAATTCACACATCTCTGACCTAAGAAGTTCCTGTTGACTTCTCTTTTCATTAAGACATTACACAACAGATGCTTAATCCGTTGAAGACTGTCATCTGGATGAGGAAGGGAAATATCTGCCCCTGGGAAAAAAAGGCCTCTTATTCCTAATGTTTCTTCCCAGCAGGAAAGCAGATGGCTTAGCTCAATCAGGTTGAAGGCACAAGGGACAGCTGTATCCTTTGTCATACTAGAAGAAGAGGGAAATCACTTTGAGATTAGAAAGTCATTAGCTACTACAGGTGGAGAACAATATGAAATATTTCAGATATTAAACTGTTTTGAGTTTTGACCATGCTTAGTCTTAGATTTGGTTATGGGTTCAGGGTTGAGGTGTTCCAGGTTTTGGGCAGGAACACCACCACAAAAAGCACTGACTGATTTCATTATGCAAGCACAAATCACCAGTTTGGACAGAGAGCCTCCCAGTTTCTTGGCTGTCCACAGACAAAAGCCATCCCTTAAGCCAAGCCTGGCACCCTGCACTGCACCCAGCTGAGCCACTGTGCTTTAGCCAAGTTGTACCTTCAGCCAAGTTCCCCAACCTGTCAAGTTGTTCCCTCCAGCATCACCCACAGCAGACACTCATACCCCAAACTTCAGCTCTCAACTAAGACATTCCTTCACTGAACACGTGGATGCCACTCACTTTTCAAAGGTTTAATCCCTGCTCCCTGTCAGCCTCTTCCCCACGACACAGACTTAGCTGACCCCATAATCCCAAACTCACGGAGGAGGAGAGGAGAAAAGGTCCTTCACACCCTGATCCTTTCCTCCCTCTAGGCACAAGACCTCCCCGGTACTGAAGTACAAGAGAGAGCTCTGAGAAGAATTCACTCGTGTCCAGGACACCCCACAAACGCAGCACATTCTCCTGCTCACGAGCAAAGCTCTGCCTGTGACCCAGCACAGCGCAAAGACAAACTGCTTCCCCTTGGCAAGGCTTTAGCTGGCAATCACAGCTCCAAAGGAACAGGCTCATGTTGATTTATCCACTTAATACTCCTTTTCAGGGAGTAGGTGCATTTGAGGAATCCAAAGCAATCGGTTCCTCTTTCTGCTTCCCCAAGAAGAGACACCAACTTTCCAGGAAACTTCAACAAGCAGATTAAAGAAGAATCCTTCTAAACAGGAAAGGATATTTCAAGAGTGGGGAATAGGCTATTCATCTCCATGTAGATACTCTTTGACTAAAAACCACTCTGTGAAAATAAATACAGCCTAAAACAATATCCTCTGCTTACTCTGACAGCTCCAGCTCCCTTCCTTGCAAACATTCTCTTGTATCAAGCCATTTTTCAAAAAGGAAATAAATCAGCAGCTTTGGGGTTTTCTGTGGCTTTCTACAGTTCTCTCTCTGACAGCTAAAAAATACCACATGTGCACAAGTGACACCAGAGGAAACTGAGGCAGAAAGCAGCAGGCAGGACTGGTGTTCCATCCCATCAGCCAGACCTGCCCCAAATCCACCACTCAGAAATGACCTACAGGATCTGTTTTTATCTTTCCTTCTTTTTAGCTAGACCGTTCCAAATATTTTGAAGCAGCTCCGTGGGAGATCAAGAGAGTAATACAAGAAATATACACAAACACTGAATATTTTTTATATATCAGGGTATCCCACTGCAATTCAGGAGGCAATGAGATAAAGTCTGGACCAAGTTTACTTCAGAACCTAGACCTGGATCAGATCTCTGCTGTTTGCACAACCCTGTCCAGTGGCCTTTTTCAGGCATTCCATGACACTTAGTTACTATTTTATTATTTTTCAAGGACTTCCTCTCTCATTCACTACCACAATCTGCTCCCCAGGCTGGGAAGCTCAGTTAGCAAAATAAATAAATTTTAAAAAATAGCTTAAGCCTGTCATATGCTTTGGTGCACAAAGAAGGAGAATAAATAATCACAAACCCGATCTATGCAATTAAACACCTCTGTCAGCCAGAGGACGTGTAACACAGGCAGATTAATCCATTTCTCACACAGTGTAGCACAGCTCTGAATAATTAACTGCATCACAGCCCGTGATTTTCAATGTTTTTACATTAATACCAATCAGAAGGAGCAGCAGCCAGGCAGACTGTTCCTCCCACTCACAGACCCCCACCTCATTTTCAGCTGTTTTCTAGGCTAATCTCACACCTACATCAAAGCTTGGTTCCTCTTCACCCCAAAGAGAGTACCAACATCTGAGGGCTCAGCACACACAATTGTTTTAAGTGAGGGTGGCAAATCCCAGCAGGATTTGTGTCAAAATGCTTCCTGGCATAACTGAAACGCAGCCAGTTCTGCTGTGCATGCACGGCCTGTGCTCCAGCAGCACAAATGCAAGGGCTGAAGGGCTGCTGTGGAACCAGGAACCCCAGTCAAGGATCACTGGGCAGCTCTGCTCAAATGAATACCTACAGAAAGAGGGAGCAGGGGGGATAGAATGCAGCAACAGCCCTTCTGTGGGTAGTAAGCACGGCTTTAATTTATTTCCAAAGCTCTTCTGAGAGCTTGCTGCTCTTCAAACACAACAAAGTCAATGCAGGCAAAGGTTTCCTCTCCCTACCCCTTTAACAAGACTGCTGTCCCCAGATAACTGAGCTACAACTCTGCTCCCCTCATTTTCCCCAGCACCGAAACTCTACTGGAAGACTCCTAATAAAAATCTCAGCGGTTTCCACACCTCTGTAATTACACCAGTGCTAAACATCAGCATTTATCTGGGCTGCTCTACACGAGTTTTAAGCTGGAAATGTTGCTTTATTCCCTCTGTGCCAACAGTCATGGGTCACTTGACACAGACCCCCCCAAGCCATGTGCAGATCTGGTGGGTGACAGGCAGCTCTTCCACCCAACACCCCTCACACTCCACGGCTCCAGCGATGAGACAAAGCCTTCCTGCCAATTCCCATAAAGTGCTCTGCTTTCTGCTCAGCTATGGAGAATGAATTACCGACAACAACATGTCTAGACACAGGCAATGGCTTGGAAATGGTTACATGCTCACCCTGGGCAAGATATTAAAAATATCTGCATTGTCAAACACCAAAAGCAAATAGACTGGGATTAGCTCTAAATGCCTCCATGGCTTCCACTAAGGGTTCTGACAAATGTTTTCAGAACTGCTACGGGCAATAAAAGAAACATTTCAAGGCTTGCAAAACAGTAATAAAACTGCTGTGAAGTATAATTTAGAATCATAAGAAACCTATTAGTCTCCTGTAAGTCAGACATACTTCTGGAGATCTGCTGTTTTGGAAGAGGGTTTATTTGCCCACCAACTTATAACTGAAGTTTGAGTTAACAGGAGCAGCTGAGGCTGTTACCAGCTCAACTTTCTTAATGGGGTTTTCTGTTCACACCATCCCCTTCTGCTCTTTGTGTTTATCTGCCCCTGAGGTTTGCTTCAAAGGCACTTGGCTCTCAAATACGAGGATAAAAATCGTGCTTTATTTAGTTTTACTTCCTACATGTTGACATGAACTCAAGAGATAGAGCACAGCAGCAGAATGCTTTCATGTGGCTACCTGCAACTTCAGAGGAACCCAGAAAGCTGCCAGCTTAGCTGCCCTGTTTGAAGGCAATCACGACCACAAGAGAACTGGGGAGGGAAAAGCACAGCCCGGCCAGAAATCAAAGGAGGTCAGATGTGATCACCCCTTGAAAACACCAGTGCTTCAACCATGGCTGGCAAAGATCATAACCCATGAGATTTCAGCTGAGAGATAAGACATTAAAGCTGCTCTTCATCCTTTTAAAGCAGGATTTATAGCTCCGGTCCTACAGGCAGCCATAACTGTTCAAATTTTGCTCTAATAGAAATTCTCACGGTTTAGCTAAAAGGTTGGAAAATTGAGAATATTAATTCATTCCTCTTTCAAAACATAAGTATAACAACAAAATAAAAAAAAACCAAACGTTCTTCTACCACAACCAACTTGAGAGACATTTTTATAAGGAGGTGGGAAAAAAGCAGAAAGCTTAAAATCAGACATTCTGATCCAACTTCTACTCCTTGGATTATTCAACTCCTTACCTCAAGATGTGGCTACAAGAGCTAGAGTGGCACAAGTAAAGAGAGGTTAAATGAGCCCTAGAACAACAGTGGAAAAGAAACAATTCTGAAAGGGATAAAGAGGATTCATCTTTAATTAATCTTAGGTGATGGGAACAAAACACTCCCATGGCAAGTCATTCAGCTGTTGCCCATTTCAATGGCTACCCTTCAGCATCACTCATTCATGCAGTATTAGTGACAACTTACTGAGGGAAGCAAACATTTGGGACTGTTGTGGTGTAGCAACTCATCCACAGCCATTTTTTATTGGTTTCAGCCACAAAGCAAACGGGCAAGTGACTGACTCAGCTTTACCCAACTAACCTATCACTGACCCTTAGTTGTTCAGGTCAACACCCAGTGCTTACAGCTCAGCAAAGCTTTAAATGTGTGATTAGTCCCCACAGACAACTGCAAACTCACTGAGGTTCTTTACATGCACCATCTCATGCTCATCCACAGTGAAGGAAGACATTCTACATTCAGGATTTCATGCACCATTAATCCTGATGTTCATACTGAACTTTACTAAAATAAAACAAAACAAAAAAAACAAACCCAACAGCAAACTTCAACCAGTCCAGCAATTACTATTTCTGTTGTTGCTGCTTTGAAAAACAATACAATCAAGTTGCACCCAGCACAGGTTTAAGTCTTGTGTAAAGCTGCAAACCCCTCATGCAAGAAACACATAACACGGCACATCAAATGACCACGCAGAAGCCACACATTACACATCAGATTCCCTGCCACTGACACTTGGGGACGTTTGCCCCTGGAGCAAGTGTAAAGGTCCTCAGGCCTGAAACTGGAATTATAATGGCCATTCCCATCAGATGACAGACATGGATGAAAGGTCTGTACTACTACTACACCAGCCTGCTGCTTTGTTCCCAACAACCTTACAGTCTGCTTAATCCACTTCGAGGAACTGCTCTGTCAGATCAAAGGCAGCTCAATATCCTGTCCAAGTCTTCAAAAGAAGGTGTAAAAACCCCATAAAAAGCAGTTACACAGTTATCTGCCCAGAGGGGAGACTTCTGACTAAGCCTGGGCAGTTAACAGTTGGCTTATGCTTTAAACCAGGGGAGTTCATAATCCTTTTTTTAAATCCTATCTAATTTAACCTTCTCAACTATAGGTTGATTTATTTAATCTCACGCAATGTTTGATCTCCGTATTTTTGGCAGAAGTTCCCCAGGTTAATTCCATGAAATTCTAAAGGACATTTCTGATTTACTGCAGTTCAACTTGTTCCCTCTGCCTCCCCAGCTGCCCTCTGACCACAGCAGTGGAAGAGCAGTACTGTCACTTCACTCCTCTTATGTGTAGACCTGTCGGGCCCAGTCCTATTAGAATTTGGAATCTCTTCCTCGGAGCAGCAACACCACATCTCCCAGTGTAAAATATCTCAGAGATTATGTTCTCCTCTCTGCTGTTCAGCATTCCTGGTAACTGCTAAGGTGACAATCCACATCATCTACTACTCATGAAGGTAAAAAAAAAAACCACCATCCAGACGAAAGAAAACTCAGCTTTAACTGCATGAAAGTGAAGTGGAATTTGGGGGACAGAGGGGACATTTAGGGCCTTTTAGATTAGTAATTTTTTAAAACAAGAAAACACTTAGAAAAAAGCTGGAGGCAGGATTATTTTGAGGCAGATGTTACACTACTGTGTTTCAAGGATTGGCAACAGCAGCAAAGCAACCAGCAACGCACAGTGGAAAAGAGTAAGAGCAAAACAGAGCACTGAACAGTGCGCAGCTGTGAAATACAACACTTGGGCAGACTGCTTTCAAACACACCCCAAATGCTGTGTGCTTGTTCACTACCCTGGGCTGCAGGACAAATAAGAAGTGGAACTTCAGTAATAAATCAAAAAGTCCAAGATGAATCGTAGGCCACGCTGTATTTGACCACCTCTCCTTACACTCCACTCCCAGTCACACCCGAGAGCAACAATCATTACAAGTTATATTGTATTTCACTGTCAGCTGAATCCCACATGCAGGAAAGACCCGGGAGCACTCAAAAATGTGCAGGGAAAAAGATAAAAAAATCAGGCACTGAAATAAATTCCTGGCTAAACATCACCTAGTTCAGTAGCTGGGCTAGAAGAAAGCACATCTCTGCATGGCACTACTCCTGCTGTCTACATTCTTTACAGCAATTAGCACTTCAGCTGAAGAGCTGAATGCCCTTGACTTGGTTCGCTCTAAACTCAAAAAATGGGTTCTTCCTGTATTTTCCATACCCTGTAGCAACAATAAATTAATCCATTGCATTAGCCTAGAATGTCATACGGGGCATGCAAAGCGTGCAGGTTATCCTTGACCACCCACACAGTTCAAGCGTATGTTGAAATACAAGGATAAAGATCAATACCTTTAACAAGCCAAGTCATACCACTTAAATCACTCTAAGCATGGCATTTCCACAAGCCAGAAGGTGGTCCTGGATTTCATGGCCTCTGGGAACACACTAGGCTCAAGGAAGCTCAAGGCCACTCATCCATTCAGTTGGTGATAGAGCCACTTACTCTGCATTTCCTAACCCCACTCCAAATCAACCTTCCTCTTCTCCTCCATCCCAAGCACTGCAAGTGCCAACCACTAAGCAGCACAGACAGTGAAAGAGATGGAGAAGAACCAAATCATTCCTATCAGGACAGCAGATCTATTTGCTGCTCTCCCTACTCTCTCCCAAGCAACTGTTTTATCCTCTTGCTGGGAATAAAGAGAAGTCTACAGGTCTGAACCACTGTAGAAAATTAACTATAAACTCATTTAAGCATAATCTTGCTCAGAATCATCCTCTCCCCTCCACCATGATTTTAAGTTCAAGAATATTTGCCATACCCAAGCCCAGAGAAGGACTCTAGACCTGGTCACAAAACTGAAAGCTCCAGAGAGCTGACAACAGCAAGACATGGCAATCCTACCCATAACAGGAAAAATCCTTGTGAGGCCCAGGTCAGCCAGGGATTTAAAATATGCAATTAGAAGTACTTATATAAAATTACATGCCAAGTCTGCACAGCATCTCTTCCTGAACCCGACCCTTTTAGCCAGGATTGGCAATTACTCCAAGACTGACAATCTCAATTACTACATAATGACAATGCAGTCAGGAATACAGCTGAGAGTAGTATGGACAAGCCACAGAAAAGGCTTGAAAAGGGTGCTAAGGGTTGGTATCAGGACAAAAAGACCAACTGTGAGAAGGGAAGAGATCTTGAACTCCTACATCAGCATGAGCCATAAGAGGATTTGCACACAGGCCACCTTAAGAGTCCTACACGCAACCCCTTCACAGGAGCACAAAAATGTGACAGCTTGGATGGAGCCTTTCCTCCTTACAAGGGCAGATTTGCAGATAGCTATAATGATAAAAATAACATTAGTCACTCAATAGCAGCTGGAACCACGGTTCAGGTGATCTGCTGAAGATCATACAAGTGTACAGTTCACCAGGACTCCCAAATTCTGCCCGTTTTACTTTCTAACTGCAACCACAAAAACAAGTGCCTGAGGTAACACTACAGAAGCTACTGAGATGTTAAGTGGACAGGCAGGTAGCACTATAAAAATCCTAGAGAGTTGCTTTAGAAGAGAAGATGGTGCAAAGCCTCATCTCCCCAGTTTTTACTATGCCAATATTTACTGTGGAAAGTTTGACTCCAGAGAGCTTTCTCATTTTAGTGGAGACACCTCATTGTTCACGGGAATGTCCATTTCTGCCTGTCTCAAATCCAGGGATGTTCCACGTGTGAGGTGACAGCTGCAGCACTGCAGAAACACAGGTCACACACACAGGGAGAGGAGAAAACCAAGCCCAGCAACATCCGAGCCAGATGAGAAAAGGGCAGTTTCAGTTACCACGGCTACCTCTGCAAGAATCTGTTTTCCATTCAGATAACCTTGAGAAGAGACACACAGCAGAAGGAAATTACGGAGCTACAGCTATAAAGGACTCTCTCCTGTCCTGAACTCAGAATTACAGGGGTTTCCATATGGCAGCCTGCAATATGTCAGTGATCCCTTTAGCTGGCATCGGTACCAGAGAGAGATTAGGAACAACAGCTAATTCATTTAGCTTTTCTCTTTGCAGGTGAAGGGGAAAAAAATGTAAAGAACTGCAGGAAGGGAAAAGAAAGCAAAGCCATTCCCTTAAATTGTAAAGCTTCTGGAAGCATCCAGCTCTGGATCCCCCTCAAACCACAGAGCTCTGGTGGGTACAGCTGAGCTTCACACTTGCACATTAACTCTGTTCAAAACAAAGGGATTATACAAAGTGCTTAGCTCTAAACAAACTGTCTGAAGTTCTGCAACAGTTGATCTTTTTACCATTTGGAGTTCCGTGTCCCACAACCAGGACAACTGAGCTGCCTCTCGCGGAGTCAGTCAAGTCCCCTCACCTTCACCCCACCTCAAGAGAGGCTGTTTAAGGCACTCGGCAAAGAGATATTTCGGAGAAAACTGAAATACAATTTTTTGTAGACAGACAATTTCGGTTGCATACCAGGAGTTCATCCATGCTCGTCTGACACTTCTCAAGATTGATCCGTTTAATTGCCACCCTCTCCTTCTTCGGAGTGCAGAAGGCCGCCTGCACCACCGCAGTCGCTCCACTCCCTGGGGGTGAAAAAGAGAGAGTCAGCAACATCTTATGGACTTCAGCGGGCAGGGAGAGAGGCCAGACAACAAAATTGCGAATGCCAGAGAGTAAAGACAGCAGAGCCAGACAGCAGAGCCAGGTGGAAACCCAGTGAAGGCTCTCCAGGCACTCCCCACTCAGGTCTGTGCAGCCCCATGGGTCAGCCCAGCTGGTCACTCACAACCAAGTGCTGGGCAAACCGAGGGAAAACAAGTGGATCTTTATGATCCCTTCCAGGGATCGTTACAGCTCTGTAGACAAACAAAAAAAAAAAAAAAAAAAAACCAACCAAAATCCAGATTCCAGCTTCCTTATAACAGAGGAGTGATTCTACTCGTGTACTTTTAAAAGCAATGCCACTGAGGTCACACAGACTTTCAACCTGATGCGTTCACCCAAAGTGTCAGAACAAGCCACAGTCTTTGCTACCAAAACTGATGAGACTTTTCAAATATTTTTAGGTACAAATTGCTGTTCTCATCTCTGCTCATTTCATGCAAAGACACGAGGTAGGTTTCATTCAAGCAGGTTCAGCTCCAGTTCTCACACCGCCTCACTGTCTGGGTTGAGAACCGCAGCCAGAGAACATTTAAATTCCAACAGGGGAAAAATAGCGCATTTTAATGTACAGTTGTTCAAACTGCTACAACCAGGGATAAGAGTTCTGGATTTAAACTGCTCAGCAATATCATACCCTTTGATACCAAAAGGAGATTGCAACAATGAGACTTAAGATCGAGTTGATGTTAAGTCTATTTTTGTTGGCCTCCAAAAATTGTTGCAACATTCATGTCTCATCAATAGGATACCTTGTTACTTTACTTTCTACTTCATCTTGGTTCCCCACATTTACACACTTCACTGGAAAGGAGTAAATCCAAATTAATAAAACAGAGGGTAGGATAGGTGGAAAATAGTTCAAGAGCTTCCTATTGCCAATACCTAAAAATGTTAATAAAAATATACCCACAGCTATTTTATTTATTATCCCAGGCAAAACTCATGAGCCCATTTAGGCTGAGGAGAGAGACGAGAACAACTATTCTGCATTTTGCAGTAACACACCTATTTTACCAGATTCTCCTGTCCTTAACACTGTAAAAACTAATTCCAGATTCTGAAATTCAGGTAAAGCACACTTTTGCAAGCTTTGTGATTTTTGTCTAGTACATTCACATAAACTGGGGGCAAAAGTTTTCAGTCTTGTCTTCAAACAAAGGCTACTGAAGCTCCCTAAAACCACCATCAATATTCTTCTCACACCAACTTGCACCAAGATAAATTCAAATAAAGTTCCAGGTGGGGAAAACATCTTGAAATCCAGCCTTGAAAGATAAAGTTCTCCATTCAAAGTCACACTGAAATAAATTGAAAAGTCCTGAATTGTGGGACAGTGCTCCTCTAATCTTCAACCAGAACCTGCTACAGTGGAGCTACAGGACTTTGACTTCACTTTATATGGCATTGCCAGTGCACCCTGGACAACAGCATCAGCTTGCCAGGGATTCCCTGCACTCAGGAGTTTACATTTTAATCCCAGAGGGCAACAATGTGCAGAACACAAAATGCTAAGGTTGCTAAAGCTGAACTATTTCACAAAGCAAATGGGTTTTTAAGAAGTTCAAGACTGAGGCCATTTATTACTTGCACACATTTTTCAGAGCAGGGAGCAAAGCAAAGCGCAGGTGGAAGAAAAGGACAGCAATAGCAGCAGAAATATTTACAGGGGACTTTGAAAATGAAGTTTGAGTGCTATAAGCAGGGTCTTGAGGAAAGAAAGGGACATGATGTAGGAGTCTGTGCAGATATTTAACACAAAGAACTCAGAAAGAGCAAAGTGGGGAGGTTTTGACAGCAGAGTTTGGCCACACTGCCAGGAGCAGGGCTGAGATACACAACATTTAGCAGGGGACAAACCTGCCAAAAGCAAACCTCCACACACACTCCCTGTGGTCGCTTTCCCTGGCAAGCAGCAGGTGCAGGAATCCAGCAGGAAAGCAGCAGTCCCAGCACAGCTGTATTCCCACTCACTGGGAATCCTGGATTGTACTGACCTGCTCCTCTCCACCCAGTACCTGCTTTCCTAACTTTTTTCTGCAGCTTCTCTGGTGGGGAAAAACACTAAAAACACATAAAGACTCAAGACAAAGAGGGCAGAGCACATAGAAGTGCTGGCAAAAGGCAGAAGTGAGTTTGCACCTCCTAGCACTGCTGATCTCCCTACTGCAATCGCCTTTTGGAAGTCAGAATAAACAACAAACACAGTATCATTTCTTCGGAAAGTGTTAGATCCCAGAAGAAATGTTGCTGCTGACACAGTCAAAGCACCAGCATTATGATTTCTTTCCTTGGATGTCTGGGTGCATAGTAATAGAGGCTGAAAACACAAGCCAGACACTGTTAAGAATATACAGCTGTGCACCTCAGAGGATTGTCTTGTCACACAACCCGTTTCACTCCTCAGGTAGTGTTTCAGTGTGTATTTTCATCTCTAAAGCTGCCTGCACAGCCCTCACTGACACAAGAGTATCTGTGCTCAGAGACTATCTCAGATGCTCGGTAGTGTCAGCACACTCCTGCTTCCTCCCACAGCCTGACATCCTGGGATTTTTGTGCCAGTTAAAGCCAGCTGGTGTAAGCACGACTGGCAGAGCTGCAACACCACTCCTGCAGACCAAATCTTTCACAAGATGAAGTCCGGGGGGTTATAGAAGTGACTACACAGGGAATAGCTTTGTGTTTTATTCTTTTAAGATGTTACTACCAGAAACAATAGATACAGACTAATTAAAAGCAGGACCACTCATGCTACAGCTCCCTCCCACTCCCTGAGTCTGCAGAATCAATGCTCACCAGGACTTGAGGGCAAAAACTGCTTTTCACTAAGTGTTTGGACAATGCCCCAGCCTGCAGGGACCCAATCTGTTAGGAGTGTGTGGCATTATTTTAACAGTAATGAAATCCCAAACTAAATCCTTCTGGGCACATGGCAGGGAATCATCTCAACTCGAGACTCCTCCCATTTAATTCCCTGCTGCTCCTACTTTTCTGGCAGCTCTGTTTAGTTCGATCACCACCTGCTCTCCCCACTCCCCCCTCTCCCGCTAATTCGTCATTTCTTTCAGCTCCTCTGTAGCACTAATTATAGAGAAACAATGAAATCTCAAAAGCGTATCAGGCAAGGATTAAGCCAAGCTGCAGCACGATGTGCCACAAGCAAGCTGCTCTTTGGTGGCAGCGGCGGCGTGCCGTGCTCCTGGGACCAAACAAAGGCGGCTTTCCATGCTTCTTGGAAGAGCACGGAAAACATGGCAACACGGGCACTTCAGGCTTTGCAGCCACACAGTTTGTTTGTTGAATGCCAGGACGGCAAGAAAAGGAAAGGAGAGAAGCTGCAGCAAGGATGCTGAACACATTGCTAAGTGAAAACAGTCCTAGAGAGAGATGATGACACCAACGGAGAGAAAAAAAAAAAGGCCCATCAAGGAAGTTTGGTAAAGTTTAAGAGCAGGTAACAAATATATGGGAGGATGGTGGGAAGAAAGGAGATTTCCTGGGCTGCCATGAACCACCTTCAATGAGAAAAAAACCCCAAGGGCAATTTGTGCCAGGGCAGCACTGATGGTCACACCAACACCCTCGGCAACCCCAGAGCTGCCGCGGTCAGAGCCAAACGCAGTCCTGAGGGCGTGGGCAGCACTGGGTTAATGTTCCCGTGCTCAGTTCACGCTCACTCCCGAACTCAAGACACTCTGATCAAGGTCAGTGCTGGGGCTCTTCCCTCCGCCTCTCTCAAGATCAGCTTTCGGAGAAAATTTGCTCCCGAGTTAATCTCTTCCAGCATAACGGCTTAGTAAAACAATGGAAACTGGGCACAGCCAAATGCTTGCTGCTTTATTCCTGAAAAGCAGGAGATGGTTTTGTTGGAGGCTGGGAGGGGGAGGAAAGAGACCCCAAATGGGTATTAGGATCTGCTTAATACCTCCTGCTCTGGCCTCTGTAGGCTCTCACATATAGTTTCAACCCTTAGGATAGCAGCTGCAAAATTCCTGCATAAGAGGGTCACAACCTACTTTAGAAAACACCGCCTTAGGAGGAAAACATACCCTTTCTAACCCCTGCTTCTTTCATGTTTCTACGATTAAATGGCTCTTTCTGAAATAAAACCAAGCTCTGAAAGGATTAAAACAACTCAAACCGAAATTCCCCAAGCACTGAGTTACTGAAGCCTGATTTTTCCAGGTTATCTCCTCTGCTCCCCTGGATCCATGCTCCCTGTACCTTTAGCATCTACAGCTCCAGCCTGAACTTCTCCTTAAGCTGAGACAAACCCCCCATGAAAGCCCAGCATCAGCTCTTAAAGGGGGGCTGGACATCATCTCTTCTGCAGCTGCATAACTTACACAAAGCTTCCATTTTCGAAAATAAAGACAAGCCCAAGGAGATCTCGTGTCAGAGTTAATGGAAACCAATTATTTCATGGCTAATTGGAGGAGCAGAAAGACAGGGGACTGACCAGAGGACACAGCATGTTCCTACACACTTTGTCTCCAAGATAACTGAATCTCTGCAGCCACATAAGGACACTGCAGCTCTCCAAGTAAGAGTGGGATGAATTGCACCGATGCCTCCTCCCAGGCAAATGCAACTGAAGCCAGAGATCCTCTTGGCAGAGGGATCTGCTTAAGCAATGGCAACAGTCATGCCAAACGGTCACAAGACAAACACCAAATCCTGGCTCTAGAACAGAATTCTCCTACCACGTGCAATGGCAATTTGAAGTAGTTATATGGAAAGAGGACTCACAAAACAGTGTTTCCCAAGTTCTAAATCTAATTCAGGTGCCCTGGGAGATGTGAAGTTTTCCCTTCATGATAACTCAGTTGCTCACAAAGCTGTTAAAATCAGCGGGGGACATGTTCCATAAGAGTCTTGGAGCATCAGTCCTTATCCTAACACCATATCAAATCCTCTCTGT